TGGAAGGGCCCTCTGACACATCTGAGTAAGTTGCAGCTCCCCTTGGGCCCTTGTCGGAGTGGGGTACAGACTCATCTGTTACATGGTTCTTTTTTGAAAAAAGGAAGGAGGGTGGATTGTTTGAGCTTGCCAGGGCAATTGCAAGGATCTCCAGGTTCCTACTTCTAGAGCTTCTTCCTGCTTCAGAATAGGGCAGGGAAGGCAGAAGAGAAGCTAGAGGCATTTTGCTCCAAGGTGGCAGGAAGGAGAGGCGGGTGCAGTGGCTGAAGTTTCCATGCTGGGAGCCTGGGCGTGAGCTGCTCACCCCCATTCTGCTGCCCTTCCTGGCCGCTGTGGGCCAGTGCTGTTCCTGGGGCAAGAGCAGGAAGCCAGGCACACTGCTCAGCCTCTCCAGGCACTGTTGCATGAAGGGAGGGTGCACTGGAACCTCCCCACTGCCTCCCTGGCAGGGCCTCCCATCTCACCAGGCCCTGCTTGGGTTATGGGTCAAAAAGACAGTCTCCCAATGTCCCAGGGATATGGTAGGGGTTTACCTGCTCCCTGCCTGGGCCTAGGCTGGCTGCCTCCTTGCCAGTGTCCCTTCCCAGTCCCTGAGCCCAGGTTGCATTTCCACATGTCCCTACACACCACCGCCCCACCCCTCCAGGTGCCCCATCCAACTCTAGGTCAATTGCAGCAAGGGCACCTCCCAGCTGGGCACCTTCCTGGCCATGGAGCAGCTGCTGCAGCAGGCAGGGGCTGAGTGCACCGTGGATGTCTTTAACGTGGCCCTGCAGCAGTCACAGGCCTGTAGCCTCATGACCCCAATGATGGTGAGAGGCGACCAGGGGTGTTCAGCTGTGGGAAGGGGCCAGGAGATAGTGAAGGTTCTGCCCCAGGTACAGTGGCCTCTAGGCAGCACCATCCAGGCAGCCACCAGGTGGCGCTGTAGACCGCTATGCTCTTTCCTAGGTGGAGCCCTAGGAGTTAGGAGATATAAGGTAGGTTTGGGCAGGCAGGGTGAGGCCCCTTACCCTGTGTCTACCTCCAGGAGCAGTATGTCTACCTCTACAACTGTCTGAACAGTGCGCTGGTAGACGGACTGCCCTGAGTTGGCACTGGGCACCATGCTGTGTCAGAGCAGAAGAGGTCTTTGCCCTGCTGAGCAGGGACAGTGCCCCCAGCCAGTCCACTTGTGCCTGGCTTCCCTGGGAGGGCAGCCTCCACTGGGCCCTGTGCTGTGAAGGGGCAGAGTCGGGGAATAAAGACATGGGTCAAGCCTGAGGCCAAGTGTGTTCTGTCTGTCCATCCTCTGAAACGGTTCAGCACGAGGGCTTTGTGGGCAAACGTGGATCAGGGATGGGGACTGGAGCCTGGGTCTGGCCATACTGACCCACAGCTGGTAAACTGGTGGCTTTTGCTCCAGAGCAGCCTCTACCCCCAATCCTCCAGTTTTCCAGTTTCCTCACACTTCTGTTTCCCCACCTAGTGTCCAGTGATGCCAAGTCCCAGTTACTCACCTTTCCCCTCCCACCCACCTCCCCCATATGCAGTAGGATTGATCCTGTCCCCACTTCTCTTCTGCCATCTTCTGCCTTCTCTACCTGCCAAAATCCCAGGGGCCGTCCTCAGTCACTGCAGCCAGGTGGAGGAGCTAGTGCCACATTGTGACTTGGAAGGCAGGGCCCAGACGTGCCCCTCAGGCCTCAGTTGCCAAGTTCTCCCTGCTCCTTTTCTTTCTCCTCCTTCCTCCCCTCCACCAAGGAGGAAGGTGGGAGAGAAAGCAGTGAGGGATATGGAGAAGGGAAACGCCAGAAGGAGAAACAGAGACCAGGAAAGAGGGTGGGGATGAGGCTGTCTGTCCCACATACTTCAGGACTGGACTGCACACCATGTGACACAATCGCTGATGGCCTGCCTCCCTGGTCAGGCCGCAAGGTTCCGGATGGCAGGGTGCCCAATGCTGGACATTGATGGCCCCTGGTGGAGGGCCCAGGGAAGACACAGAGAAAGCCTGGACAAATCAGGGCAGGAGTCTCTAAAATGGAGTTAGACACCCACCAAATGGGGGTTACGTGCAGAGCTCTCACTGGCCAAACTGAGTTCCAAGTAATGTGCAAGGGGTCAGAGGTCAGGGGAGAGTCCTTCTCAGGCTGGAGAAGGGGAACAGAGGTAGGACTTTCTGCTCATGGGCCGACCCTGTGGCTCACTTGTGAGAGTGCGGCGCTGGGAGCGCAGCGGCCATGTGTTCGGATCCTATATAGGGATGGCCGGTGCACTCACTGGCTGAGCACAGTGCGGGCGACACCAAGCTAAGGGTTGCGATCCCCTTACCGGTCACAAAAAAGGAAAAAAAAAAAAAAAAGGACTTTCTGCTCAGTCAGGAGCCTTCCTAGAATGGGGTTAGGCTCTGGTGCTCCCCCCAGGGGGACCAGATGTTGATGTTCTTTCATATACCCTGTTTATCAGGAGTCTGAGAGGTTGGCCCCGTAGCGACCCCTCACGTGGGCAGGCTGGAGACCCAGCTCTGAGCTGCCTAAGCTTGTCTCAAGGTGCTGCTGCTGAGGTTGCAACAGGGCTCAACTGTGGTTTTTCCAGCCTGTGCCCTACATTGGAGTAGCAGGAGCTGTGAATGGGCTGGGGATGGAGCCAAGGGCATGGAGAGTGCGGGTGGAAATGCGGGCCCATCTAAGGTGACTCTGCCACAGGGCAGAGGAGGCTCTACCTGCGGGTCTTTCTGGTTGTGCAGAGCCATCCTCTGGCCTTCCTAAGAGGCTCATCTTCTACTTTCAGGGCCATGGCCCTAACTGGAGGCCTAGAGTCAGGGCCTTCTTGGTCCAGCTGTGTAGCCCCTCCAGCCCTGGGAGCTTAGCAGAAAGTGGAGAGGGGTTAATGAGAGGGTCCTAGGATATATGGAAGTACAGGGTGGAAGGAATCTGGGCTGCCCCTGAAGTCCCAGGTTTCTGGTGTGTACTCTGGACGAACCACGGGGAGTTAGGACAGAAATGGGAGGAGGGAAGCACGCAGCCTGCTCTAGCTCTGTGCTGGAGCTTGGCTCGGCATGGGAGAGAACCGAGAAAGCAAGGGGCTGCATGAAGAAAGCTCGGCCAGCCCAGTATGGTCTAAGGAGAGAACCGAGACTTGACCCCAGTTGCAACCACCATTCCCCTGCTCCCCAGGTTCTGGGGCTGGCCAGGGTAGACCCTGGGATTCCCGCCTCAGGGTGGCTGGGCTGCAGCTGCAGCACCGAGCCTCCAGGTGGCGCCCATCTGCTGACTTTCAGGCAGGCTCTGACAACCAGCTGTGCAGACCCCAGTCCCCCAGTCTCCCGGGGTCCTGGCAGCAGGAATCAAGGTGATCCCCAGGCCTCAAGCCTGACTGAGCCTGCAAGAGTGCATTTCCCATCCACTGTCCACTCAGTGGGTGGAAATGCACACTTGTTTCTTTGGCGTCAGGGCATGGCCCCTCTCCGAGGAAGCTCTCCTCACACACTGCCCCTCAGCCCAGCTTGCGGTGGAACCCTCCGCAGCCTGACCCCTTGCAGGACAGCCCCTCGCTTCTCTCTCTCCTGTCCCAGGAGACAGGATGAGGAAGGCTGACCTGAGTTCCAGTCGTGCGGCTTCCCCCCATCAGCTGTGTGACCTTGAACAAATCCCTTTCCCTCTTGGGTCTCAGGTTCCTCCAGCGTAAAACATGGTAGTGGGCTTGGGGACTCTGAGGTCGCTTGCAGAGGGCCTCCTCGGGGCCCCATGCGACCCCGTGAGGCAAGAGGGTGCCGGCCGCGTCGGCCCAGGCCCTGGGGCACCCTCTCCCAACACGTGCAGGTCCTTGACGTGCTGCTCTGCTCGCTTTGGGCTTCTTTGCTTTCTTCCTTTTTTTTTTTGTTTTTTTTCTTTCCTGGATGAAATTCCTGCCAGCTCGGAAGGAAGGAGGGAAGGGGAGCAGCCGCGGCGTAGAGAGTTCCCTTGACTCCTCCTCCGCCTGTGTCTCCCTCCCTCGCCAAGCCCAGCCTGTGAAACGGAATAACGAAGATCACTCCACAATGCCTGGCCCTCTCTGACGGCACCGTCCCCGCGCTCCCGCCGCCGCCACCGACGCCCAG